TAAATTTCACTAAATATTTATATTAATAAGTAGAAAAAAGTGTAGAAGTTATTCCAGTAGATTAGATGTGATATCTATTATATATAAACCAGTGTATTGCAGTGTATTTGTTGATTTATATTTCGATTTGATTGTATATTTATTATAATATAATATTATCTAGTATATTTTTGTTATTATTGTATCATTACAAAACATAATAGGATTGTAATACCAAATTTAGTTTCAAATACCCGTGTATTAAAATTCATTAATTTTCATTTCAAATTTTGCGCCATTAATTTGAGTGCCAAAAGCAGCGCCACCACGTCGAGCGGAGGACCCTTTAAGTATTCCTTCTGAACGTAAAAATCGGGCGAGAGAAGCGTCTATATGAATACGGGGTATTCTAATATTGTCTAGGCTTTTATCTATGATTGTAGTGACTAGATAAGGACACTCATGAAATCTTGCGCTTGCTTGAATTGTCATCCGGTCTCCTGTCACCTGTCATCAGGGTATTCAACACACCACCATCACAACATTTCAAACCCGGATGATGGAACTCTGATGGGCTCTGATGGAACTGACAATCCACAACAGTTTGGAGTCCGAACTTTTGATGGAACCGAAAAAAGTGTTCTGCGCATGCGCGGATAGTTTCGGACTGTCAGATTGGCTCGGATTGAACGAACCCAGTATAAAATGGCGTATAGGCTACAAGGCGCAATGCACTCTGGGAAACCTGACTGAAACGTTAAATCAAATTCAAAAATTTTAATATACTTTTTGAAATTTTTGTAAAAACTTCTGTTTTTAAATTTTTTGAAAAAATTAGTTTGTTTAAAAAATTTGTAAGTAATTGAAGAAGTTAAAATTCTATTTTTGGAAAACTTAGAAATGTATTTTTTTTTATTTAAAACTATAAAATTTTTACTATAACTTCCCGTAGTAAAATATAGTAGTCGCAAAAAATCGAGAATGAAAATTTTGTCGACGATTTCGGGAACAACATTCGATTCGTATTGATAAGGAAGCGTGCTGATTAGTGTTTGGCAGAGGCAGGTCTAGCCGTTCCAAAGATACGGGGCAAAAAGTGCCAAAAACGGTAACCCAGTTTTTAAGACAACGGAGCGTCCGAATTTAATAATTCAAAAACCATTATTAAATTTTTGAAAAGGCCGCTCTAGCGGTTACAGAGATCCAGTAAAAAAAAAAGTAAAAAAAAATGCCATTAGGCGGTCGTACATGATTATTATCAGATATTATATGGAGATTTTAATAACATGTATCAATTTTGTTTACGTTTCTATGGGTTCCGTAACATCGTTTGTTTGTTTAACAGCGACGCGGCGCTTACGAGCTTCGATAATTCATCTCATCAAAAACATTTTTCTTCAAAAGTTTTTTTTTTCAAAAAGTCATTTTTTTTTAAATGTAGAATTGTTAAAAAGTCAAAGTTAAAAAAAAAAAAAAAAAGAAATTGTACGTGAAGTTTCAGTAATTTGTCTAACGCACGATGCCATACGCAACTAGTTAAATCAATCTAATCGGTTGATATAAAATGTATATATATCCGTGCTCTATAACTGACACTACGGAATTTAAAAATTAGATCAATCGATTTTTCATTAAAATATAAAGTTGTGGAAAATATTTTCTAACAAAACATTGCACATTTATTACATCAGGTAACAAATGTATATAACTTTGTAACTCCCGACATACATTGCGCTTACATTACACTTAGTTAACATTTGTTATAAAACTTTGTAATTTTAAAATACATTGCGCGTACATTACATTTAGTTAACATTTGTTATATAACTTTGTAACTTCAAAATACATTGCGGGTACATTACATTTAATTAACACTTGTTATATAACTTTGTAACATAAAAAGTTATATTGCGGCAACAAGTAGTGTTTACTGGGTATATATATATATATATATATATATATATATATATATATATATATATATGAAAATAGCCCGTTCCAGGCACTGCAATTTGAAATGGCTATGGAAAATCTCTTGCACTATTCTTCCCTGAATCAAGTTGAAGTTCAACTCAGTTCGCTGTATATATATATATATATATACATAGCTGGGCACCGTTAATCAAAAAGTTAACTTCGTTAATCGTTAATCCGCTACAAAAAAAGTTAGCTTCGTTAAACGTTAAAGCGTTACATTTCGGAATAATTAACGCAAGTTAACGTTAATCGTTAATCCGTTAATATGTGTAAAATTACATTTTTATATTGTTGCGTTAGTGAACTTAAAAAACTTATTGGTTTAGGTTCTGGAAGTTAACAGGTTATGAATAAAACAAAATACTTGTATAATTCAACCCCTTAATGGCGCGACGCGCTTTATGCACACACCGTGATAATAACGCTATTGGTCAACTTTCTGTTTTTATGATTGCATATAGTTTTTACAAGAATTTTTTTCTAAATAAAGGGAAAGAGTTTTTTTGCGAAAAATAGGAAACGCGCGACGGGTTAAGCGTCGGGTATTAGGTGCATATTTCTTTTCATGAACATTAACATGTTGAAGTTCTCGTCTGAAAGCGAGGCTCGTTTTGGTGTCAAAATGTCTTTACCCGTGGAAAACAAACGTTCAACTGCAGCGCTTGAGGGTATAGCAGTATTGTATTTAATAAACAGATTTATGAATATCTGTTCCCCGAGGAATGCAGCATCGTTGAACAAGTCTTTTGAACATGTTGGCACTGTTCATCATTCACGAGTGGTCCAAATCTTTTCTCTATGTCATTTAATAAGGCATTGGCTAAAGCTGTGCCGTGCGGTAAATAGTAATAATTGGCAGGGCCGTGCCTGGGTATGTGGCCGCCTGCGTGCGAGCATATAAATGGCCGCCCTTAAAAATAGCATAATAGGAAAATATCCAATATGTTCTCACGAAAAAAATCGTCTTGTAATTTTCAAGTTTTCTCGACATTTTAAGTCATTCTGAATCGTTTGAAAGCCGATATTTGAATTTTCGGCAACGTTGTCTCAAAAACGGTTAAATCCAATCAAAAGTTTAAAAGTCATTTGATGTAACTAGATAATGACTAGCGCCTGTCAGTTTTGTGCGACGATCGGCCAAGCTGTTTCTAATCAACAGAAAAATATGAAATTTATTGTACACGTTTTAGCCAAAAATTCTGCATCGATTTTAAAAATTCAGGAACTGTTTGAAAGATATCATTTAGGAATCGTGCTGATTACTTCTAAGAGATCGGTCAGTTCGTTTCTTCGTGTTTAATTGGTGAATATTGCTTTACGATGATATTTATAAAACTTTTTTGGCGATAGTGATCATGGTCTCTAAGATAACTAAATATTTTGACCCACATTAAGTCATTTTAATTTTTAAAATCTGTACTATCAAAGATTGCAAAAATGAGCGGCGCATTTTTACGTGAGTCAAAATTTCATCTTTAGTGGACCTTTTCTCAAAAATGCACAATCCCATTTGAAAAATCGTCAAAATTCGTAAATTCGTAAATTAAGTTTTGTCAATAATCGACGAGTCGTTTTTCAGTTATTGATTAACAAATTGCTTTGGAAATTTGGATCTTGTTTTTAATTTACTACAGTTTGTTTCTTGTTCAATAATATGTTATTTTTAAACTATTTATAAAACATAACTAATATTTTTAGAAAATTTGTACAAAATTGAATAATCTGCGATAGTTTTTCACATTGCAATGTACTCATGAATTAATATATTTTTATTGTTAAGTCGATTATTAACACATGTTGGATACTTCATGCAACTTGATTTAGGCAAAGTTGCCACTTACACCAAGTTTATAACTTATAAATTATTTAGAAACAGAGTCGCATTCAATAGGGCCGCCTTTGGCTGATTTTTACTACGGTAATTTTGGTCTTTTAGATATATACAGCGGACTTTACGGCAGCGAATGAGTTCAGCGGACTTTAAGCTTGGCCGCCTCTTAATCCAACAATCTTTTAATTTGACCGCCTTTTAATTCAGTAGACTTTTAATGCAACAGCTATTTATTTCGACCATTTTTTGTTATGGCCGTCTTTGAATTTGTTCTTTTTTTCATTTGGCCGCCCCTCGGCCGTCTCAAAAGGCGGCCGCCTGCGTGCGGTGCACGCACTGCACGCTGGCCAGGCACGGTCCTGGGCATTGGATTAACGATTAACGGACTTCTGGCATTTTAACGGAAGTTAACGTGTCCGTTAACATTTTCAAAAGTTAACTTAAAAGTTAATCCGTTAATCAAAATGTTAACTTCGTTAATTAACGATTAACGGATTAACGAGTTAATGCCCAGCTATGTATATATATATATATATATATATATATATATATATATATATATATATATATATAGCGAGCTGAAATGAACTTCAACTTGATTCAGGGAAGAATAGTGCAAGAGATTTTCCATAGCCATTTCTGATTGCAATGTCTGGAATGGGCTATTTTCATTTGGAAAAATATTTTTGATCCATATTTTCATCATTACTGATTTTCATTTTTTCAGAGCAAAAGCCCGAACTCCCGACCCTGTCCACATAAAGCGCCTATATTTATCTTAACTGGAATGAAGCTGAAATAATATAAAATATCAATTTCATAGACATAAAGAAATCTTTTTTTTTATAATTTTAATTTTAGATTTTAAAAACTCCTTATAATTATTAAGATATTACATAAATTCATAAAATATTCTATAACCCATTCATGAAATTTCATTTCCATTCAATCTTTGCTACACAATTTTGCATATTAAAAATCTATTATGTATCTGATACATAATTATATATATGTAAATACAATAATCTCATACAATACAATAGATAAAAACATATTCATAGTTATATATATATATATATATATATATATATATTATATATATCAATATACATGTATGTATTATTATGAATGTATCTAAAATATGCATGTAATATAATTCTTTATGTATATAAAATTGCATAACAATGAGTTCAATTTAAATATTGAAAAATGTCAGAACTGCTAGAAAAAAAAATTGAATAAAATTCCAATAAAATATTATCAAATCTACTATAAGTAATAAATAATCTCACATCAATCAGCACATATTGGAGTCATCATTCGTCATGTACGAATACTGAAATAAAAACATGTATTAATAACAAATCAGAAAATATTGAAGGTTGATAGTTTGAAATAGCGGCTGTAATAATGCATTCAAAGTTATTGTATTTCATGAAAAATAATAGATAAATGTAGTTGTAATAATGAATATCTTAAATTTTATGAAAATATCAGTAATGAAAACAGTGTTAAACAATTGAATAAGAAATTTTTGTAATCAAATTGTAATGTCAACTGTGTATGTTATTAAATGCACTTATGCCACAAACAATACTATAATGCATATTGTGTTCAAAATAATATGAATCAATTTTGAGAACCACTTTGAAAATTAGATTGATTAAATACATATTCACACACACACACACACAAACATCTCATCTTCAGCGTAATTTCAAAACAATTAATTACATACTAACACATTATTTAATATTTTATTTAAATTATTTTAATTTTTGAAAAACAAAAAAAGGTGTCAAATTTTGTAAGAGATAGTTGGTGTTTTTTGTTTTTCAAAAATTGAATGTAATTTAAATAAAATATTAAATAATGTGTTAGTATATAATTAACTGTATTGAAATTACACTGAAAATGAGGCATACCATGGTCTCGAAACAACTGCAATTATTAAATAAAGTATGTGTTAAAAATCTAAGTGTTGTAATTTTCAAATTGAACATTTAATATATATATATATATATATATATTATTATATATATATATATATATAAATAATATATATATATATATATATATATATATATATTTGAATTTTGCATATATTAAGCTTATATATTAAAGTTTGTGTGTAAAAAAATCTAATAAATTATATGCGGTTTTGGATGGTGCCACTTTAAACACGAAAGGAATTAAGCAGCATTTTCAACATATTTTACTCTTTTGATATAAAAAAGGTAAAAATGATGTTTCAGTCAAAATGAAATTAACCAATGTGTATGGAAATGACGTGTAGATAGTACGACAGTTCCAGAACTGGTTTGCTAAATTTTATTACGGGTATTCTAATGTCAAAACGCACCAGGTTCAAGAAAAACGGTTGAAGCTGATAAAGACACGAAAAAAGCAAACAAGCAAATAACAATATGTGAGATCATATTGGGTTTAAATGTATCAAATTCAACACTTCATGATCACTTAAGAGGTCTGGAATTTTACTCAAAACTCAATGTATGGTTCTCAGAGAGATGTCTGCAATTCGCATCTGAAGGGCCATGAAAATGATCAGTTTTTGGAGCAAATTGTTACTAGGAATGTAAAATGGGTTGTAAAGAATATAATACACTTGATTGCTCATGCACAAAAAGGGAAGAACCTGCTCAAAAGAGTTGTATGTTTGAAGAGATTTTAAAAAGTTGTTTATTTTTCAGCTTTCCCAGGATAACATAACGGTTAATTCAGATGCCTAATGTCATTAGCTGGATAAACTAGATGATGTACTTCAATGGAAAAGGTCCAGAATTAACCAACAAGACATAACAAAGACCTCATATAAGTTTGGTCAATTGTCAAAAGCTTTTACAGCTTGAATAGGACACAATGCCACATCTATCACATTCTCCAGATTTGGTATCAACGGACAATTTTTGTTCTGGTCACTAAAAAAAATTTTTAGGCGGTAAAATCTTTACCTCAAATGAGGAGGTTGAAAAGCACTTTGATCAGTTTTTTGCCAATATTGACAAAAAATGTATGATCCCAAAATTATACTACTATCAGAAATTTAGCAAAAGATATCCAATCAAAACGAACAGTACATAATTCATTAAAGTATAAGTTTATTTATACAAAAATGACTTGCCAAAATATCTATAAAAAACAAAGTTGCTTTCCGAACAACCCAATATGTTTAATTAAATAGGTTAATATGCCAATACTCTTTTAATCTCGCACAATCAAAATACTTAGCAATTCATTTTCCTTACCGGTACAACAGAAGAAGTTTCTATAGCAGGATCTGTGGATGGTTGATTGATCATTGGAATTGCAATTGCTTGTGATTGAACTACATTTGAAGAATCTAATGCATTCACTACATCATTCATTTCTACATTCATACTTGAATTATCATGGTTGGGTTGTTGAGTACTTAATTGAGCTAATTTCTGTGTTAAGGCCATCGTTCCTCCTTCAGCTACAGTAATTATTGCCCAAATTGTATCTACAAATATAATAAATGTTGATTCCACCTTATAAACATACAACTAGAAGAATGAAAAACAAAAGTTACTTGGGACATCTGTTACTACTTACCTTAAAATATATATTTATATAAAATTCATATAATGAAATGATCTATTATCGACAAATTTTGAAAATAAAGAAAATTTCTCAGAACATTGTCTTTTAGTGACAAAAACATTCTAATTACAAGTAAAAGTTAAACAAATTAGTGAGCTTCCACTTCAACATTTAAAGACATTTGGAGATTATAATGAAAATACAATCAATTCTCTAACACAATAAGCAACAAGTTAGAGTTTGAAACTAAAACTTAAAATAACATAAACATAAAATCATATTTGAATTGTTTACCACCAAAATAACTCCCACCACTAGTCATCATTCTCCATTTAGTCTGATGTACACCTGGTTCAGAAGGACTGACCATTTCAATTGTAATATGCCATACTTGACCAGGAACTAATGCAGGCATTGAATATCTAAAGCAAATTTATTATGTATTATTTTATTCAATTATAAGTTTATGCAGCTAACCTCTTTAAACACTCCATTTGTGTTGTGGTACCAATCATTTGTAGAACACAATCTCGCGGCCAAGCTTCATCACCATTGTTTTGAATTCTCCACGTTTTAATAAAACTGAAATAGAGAATTACAAAGTTTATTGCATTTGTTTAGTTAATTCAATAAAAAACAGTTGCATTAAATTTTAGAGATTATGAAAAAATCATGTATAACAATAAAGCAAAGATTACACTGAACAATGTTGATTGAAAACAATTTTTATATAAATTTTGTAATTGTGGGCATTGCTTAGAAATTTGATTCATATCATATGTTATACTTAAGCAAAATGTGTAAAATTTTATTTAAATAACATATAAGTAAGTAACATACTTAATTATTAAGATAAAATAAAATTTAAACCAATGCTATAGTAATATCTCAAACAATAACATTTGTATAATCTTAAGATTTAATCTCTAATTTTATGACATTTTACATATTACATAAGAAAAACTGCTATAGTAATATCTCAAACAATAACATTTGTATAATCTTAAGATTTAATCTCTAATTTTATGACATTTTACATATTACATAAGAAAAACAATTATATAACATCACAATGTAAATCAAACATAAATATTAGAAATTATGATATCTATTTATGATTCTAACCTTCGTTGTTCTTCCTCATTTGCTATTTTTCTATGCAGGATAAGAATTCACTTAGTTGCAAAGTTTTTTTTTTCAATAAACTGATCTACATTAAAAAGTCATATTCCTATATTATTTAGTAAGAATCAAGTAGGATATATAAAACTAATTTTCTGTAAAATATACCCAAAATAGGTTGTGACAAATCTATATAAAAACTTATTAAGTTGCCTCAGGATACAAAAGAATTCAAGATTTTCATGATGTCTATGACTTGATGAAAATGTATGTAAGTGTTTTACCAATTGTGTTTTTTCTCAACATCTCAAAGTGTTCAACTATTATTACACAACTGCTATACACTATAATATTAATAAAAAATAATTTTTCTATATAGATTATACCTCGTATTAGGAGTGATACATTCGCCTTCGCCAACTGTTACATCAGCTAATAATATCATCGATGGTACCTTAGCAGGTGTTTCACAATCCAAATAAGAACCAATAGCTGCTTGCAAGTTCCTATATGAAAGTTAAGGTAACATGTATTTGACTTATAACCCATTACATTATATTCATATATATAAATAAACAACTAAAACAACATCGACCTACCAGTTGCTCATGTCTAGAAAAAATCTTGCTGTAGACTCATTTAAATTATTCCCCAAAATCTTTTGTAATTGGCTGACGAGCTCATCATGATCAGTAGTACCCAGACAGCTGAATTGTTGAAGAAGACTTTGTTCCAAATCATTTGCACTTTGCAGATTTTGATCCAACGGTCCATTGTCAAAATCCATGGTCGAATAAAATTGCCAGATAATTTTAAATAATAAATAAAAAAAAAACTCATTCAATTACTAAACCTATTGTTATCAAACATATTTTTTTTGTTGCAATGTAATATTTTGACAACCATCTGTATGACGACAAGTTGACAAAACTGCAATAGTGTTGCCAGAGCTAACATAAACATAGAATTTTTAAAGTATTACCAGATGAAAACGGCAGAATGATATCCATAGATAAAAGAAGAGTAAAATCATAGATAAGGAAATGGATGAGTATAATAATATCATAGATAAAAGAAAAGAATAATAACTTTGATATTACGCTGCCTTTTCTACTTTTAAGCAACTCATGTTTGTTTTAATATGGTGGCCAATAACATAAATATTTTAATTATGACTACATACCTCACTGAATCTATCCAACGAAGCAATTTATTTATTTTATAACTTACTTTCGAATTTATAACAAAATTCACTTTCTTATTCATGCGCTTTCTTCACTTATTACTCTTAAGATTGGTGACACAGAATAGCAAAGTTAAAATTAAATTAAAATCTGAATTACTTTCGATATACAATTTTTTGTTAAATTTTTTAAAGCAAATTTGTCAATACAAGTAGAAAGTTTTTTGAATCATTCAAATCAGATGTTTAGTTCTCCCAAAAAATGCCATTTTTTGCACATTTAGCTCTGTAACTTCGAAATGGTTGGACCAGCCTTTGCCAAAAACTAAACACTTCTCCCAATCATTCCAAATTGAATGTTTTTTGGATGATTCAAATCGGATACTCTGTTCTCTCAAAACCTCGATTTTTATTTTCTGCATTCTTTGCTCCCTATCTCCGTAACGGCGGAACCTGCCTTTGCCAAAAATTAATCAGCACATCTCCCTATCAATAGGAATCAAATGTTTTTTTGACCATTCAAATCGGTTGATCCGTGCGCGCGAAAACGTAAACGAAAAAATGCAGACACACAAAACACACACACACACATCCATTTTTTTGAGATATGCCAAAATGTTCATAAACCTTCAAAACGTGAAGATATGCAAAAATTTTCATTTTCGATTTTCGACCCATTATGTGAAAACTAAATGTAAACTAGTGGTGTATGGCATCGTGCCTTAAGGGGTTAGGGGTACTTGGAGTTACGAAAAAATGAGAATTTTCAGTATTGTTTTTTTGTTATTAGACTTTTTTTTCACAAAAATTTTAATACGGCATCATTATACAATGTTTTGACTTGAAGTAACAAAAATTTCAGAAAAAAAAATTAATATTCCCAAAGTTATAGCTGTTTTTGATGACCATGTTCAAAAAAACGGTCCTGGCGGTGACCATCATAACTCCTTAGAGATTCATCTAAATCAATCAAATAAAAAAAAATAGTTTTATAAATAGATAATCCTGGGCCTGATCAAAGGTTTTCTTTTTTTGCAAAAATTAACAAAATGGCAGCATCAGAAATAAAATTTCTAGATTTTTGGGTAAAAAATCAACAGTCAATTGGTCTTAAAAAATTTAAATTTTAGAAAAATAAAAATCCTTCGATCAGGCCCGAGTTTATTTTGTATTCTAAAAGCTGTATAAATTTCATTAAAGTTTACTAAGCGGTTTTTTGAGTTACAGTGGTCACCGGTTCAAAAAACATAGTTTTGAGAAAAACGCGTTTAAAGTTTCACATTGGATTTACGCACAGAAATTCAAATTATTGAATTACTTAAACCGAGTCATCTATTTCTGGGTCATATCAATCATTGTGCAAGTTTCCAAAATTTTCATTTGCTGATGCCTACGAAGCATTCTAGCCTCCTGAGTGTTCTCGTTGGCGCGCTGATCTGCCACTTTCACACGTGCAGCATCCCATTTAGCAGCATACCAATGGGAATTATATCCACAATTAGGTACTAGGGCATTCATAATCAATAATATTGATTATGTATATGTATTCGGCAATTTCTACGATAGTAGAACTAGTATTCACGGTTTTTAGGCATGATTTTTACACTAGTTGGCTGAAGCTTTTAAGTTTTTTGATTATGGATTCAATCTTGAACTACACATCTTGAAGGTAAATTATCATTGCTCAGATCGTCGTAAATCAGTTTAAAAGCTTTTAAAACATCAGGAGGTGAGGGAGAATAATCTTGAGTATAAGTATCGAGCTCTCCACTTGCGTCAACGCGCTGGTAATAGTCCAATAACTCGAAAAGTAAACATCGGATCAACTTGAAATTTTCAGAGAACATTTTCAAGATATTACACTTAATGAAAATGCAAAAAACTAAAAATCGATTTTTCAAAAATTCCAAGTACCCCTAACCCCTTAAGGCAAATTGCTTTTTAAATACTAGAAAAAAAATAAATTAGTAAATTTAATCGACGAAAGGTCACATCGGCTCACATACACACATACAAGCAAACATACTTTTCTAAATTTGGTCTCAAACGATTAAGAATGTGTTATAATGCCATGACAACATAATACAAGCAAGTCGGATTTTTTCATAAAACACTATTTTGAGAAGCTAAAAATTTAATTTTGATATTTTTCTATAAAAAAAAAAAATATATATATATATATATATTTTGAAGGCGGCCAAATATACTTGCACGCGGGTACACTTTTGATAATTTGCATATATGTAATTTAAGAAAATAAGAGTTCCAAACATATTTCTTTCTATTTTTATATAAAAGTATCTATTATATAATATATATTATATATATTATAATATTATAATTTAACCCTTGTAGCTATAGACTGTATTAATCACTGATTTGTTGATATAATTTATGTATTGTTGCAGTTCTTGTAAGAAATTATTGATTATTTATTACATATGTTGTTAAGCGGACTTTAATTTTAGAAGCGAGAAAATAAGTCTCATCAAACTCTCCGCTACCCCCTCTGCACAATGCCATGAAGATTGCTGCTTCTTGGCAATATAATAAAATGAAAATACGTCCGAATAATATAGCATCATATTCTGCTTTTCTAATATTTCTTTAATAATTCTATTAATAATATTGAAACGCCTCTTTGATTGTAGTCCGGAGTATTTTCTAATGTTCCTCTTGGATACGAACATCTCACAAAAAGCAATAAAATTTTTGATATTATTTATTATAAACGTATAAGTAGCATTTTATAACAGACATGATATAAAATATACAAATATTTATTCTAAACACTCTTTATCAGCATCATCTTTAGATAAATACATCGGTTTCATTAAGTTCTTGAATTTATCAAATTCGCACAATTCATCGCAGCCTCTGAGTTTTAAAATATTTTTATCCGAAATTGGTTGACTTGGATTATTACTATAGTGTAGCTAAAATTAAATAAATTTGTATGTAATTGACCATTATACCATACGTTGGATTGTGTTAACCTATAGGATTCAAAAAACTTTTTGTCAACAACATTCACTAATATTTTGTTTATCAATTATTCATAGACCAATTAATGAATATAGATGCATTAACTTTAATTTTTGTTATTTTAATAAATAATTGAAAAAATCTATTAGAGTGCCTATTCGGATAATAAAGTACTTCCATGATTGAAAATATCATCTTCGATGTATTTTTTTTCAATTTCTAACAAAATTCACCTTGTTTTGTATGTAGTTAATTCTTCCATGATTATAGTTAGTATATAGTTTAATTATTCCATGAGTATATTATAACGCTATACATTTTTGATATAGAAAATTTAAGAAAAATATTTGTTCACGCGTGAGCAGCATAATTAATATTCAAATCGCGATTAGTTATAATATAACAGTTAATGAGTCAATTTGGATCCATTATTTTTAAATAAATATCGTTTAAAATAAATATTGATTAGTTAATTTTAGCATTAGTATGTAAATATCCGTGAAGAATCTTGCGATAAACATTGATGAACTGGATTTAATTAATATATTTTCATTAATTATCACAATTAATATATGATGAAATATGACTTAATTCCCATCAATCTATAATGAATGACTTACCCTGATATGATATGTCTGCTCTTCGACTTTCTGGTAAACTTCTGTAATAAACATTGAACCAGCTTCTGGATGCGGAAGTAAATTTTCACTGTGATATCCTTCATCGCCGCCCATTGCATGACATAATAGATTTCAGAAATGGTGGTGTTGTTCCAAAATACCATCTTTTTACCATCGGGAGTTTCGCCCTTCGTTCTCAGTGATCAACATCGTCCAGTAAATGAGATACGTACCTACCTGTTAATAAGAAATGAAAGAAATTATATTAATATATTATATATTATTATAATTATATATGCCCAAAAATATATGCACATTAGTGATTTGTCCATTGATTTTTCCTATTTCAATCAGACATAGATATTTCTGCTTATTGCATTTCTAATTTTTAAAGACTTGTAGATTATTACCTGCCGAAAGCCTTTTCAAAGATGTAATTGAGAATGCAGTTTCATAAACTTTTCTTGACATAGTTTTTAATAACTTCTCCTTCACCTTTGCATGTTGGTAGCGCACCATTTTGGTCATTATACTTAAAAATATGCATTAATATTAATTTTTATTAAAATTTATAATATTATTATAAACATGCATGCATATATATTTAAATACTTATATTAATAGTTATGTATGCAATGTGATTATTTTAGTATAAATTATTTCTAGACTATGTTCTGTAGATAATATGCCACCATATCAACAACTTTATTATAACCATGGATGAAATTATTTAAACTAGGTGTACTTGGCATATTGCATTGAGGCAAGTTTCAAAAACTTCTATGATTTTCATAATTAAACCACTTTTTGTAGTCCTATAATATTTAAGGATATTTGTTTAGGGTTTAATCAAAATCTTCAAGATTTTTTTTTTCAACATTTATGGGCCGATTCTGCCGCATAACAAATCAATGTTATGGCAAGGCCATGTTACGTTACAACTTTTATAGATATGCTACTGAATCATACTGAATACTGTCAAATGTGATGTATTTGCTATTCATTCAGGCGTTTTACACATAAACTGCAACATCACTCGTATGTTATGAAGCTGTGTCAGAAAGACCCTGCTATCTAAGATCGTTTTTTTG